AGCAAAGGTGTTTAATAACGTTCTAGTAGAACGTCTCCCTTTTAGATTAATTAGATTAATTTTTTAATAACAGATTAACTAACTTTTAGGCAATGAACTTGAGGGAAATTGCGCGTTGATTTGGAATGAGGACCAATATTTCATTTCTTTGGGCTCTGGAATAGACAGGGAGGAGAAAGGGAGAAACTGAGGATTTACTCATGTTTTAAGATGAAGTGTGGGGACACTATGTTTTTATATGTCATTCAGTTGAACTATAAATGCTTTTTCATTTCTAGTCTCGTCTTGTTACCAGTTGCAGCAGTTGTGTATGTACTGTAAATGGAAACATAGAAGCAATAAAATATTTTTAATTTGGTTTCTTTAAACCTGTAAGCCTCTAAATGTATTTTAATAAGGACTTAGGTTAAGAAGTTGGTTATTTTTCGAGTTACTTAACATGAAACAGGACTGGAAAGGAATTTCTCAGTTATCAGTTAAGTATCTTCCTTTACATGTAGAGATTTATTTCATGAGATTTTTCAAAGCCCTGTCTTCCTTTTTCTATTTTCTTCACTTGAAGGGAAGAAATTATATTCTTTTTGATACTTTCATTCTCGTTCTGAGTCTTTTAATTGTTAATCTTTCAATACAGATATTTTTTTCCTTTTTAATTTCTTTATTCAAAATCTAGCTCACTCAAATCCCAGTGAAGACTGTATTTTTATGGTGTTCATCAGAAGATTTCAGAGCAGTTTATTTATAAAATAAGTAAACTCCATTTTACATATTAGACTGATACATGGTGATTTTCTGCACCTGATATTTTGAGAATCTTGTGTCTCATATGTATCATGCTAGGCTGATTTCTTCATTCTAGAAATTTAGTAGAAATGTTAGCTGAAATGTTGATGAAAAGAGAGAATAAAAAGCGGAAGTTTTTCCTTTTTTCAAGTTTTCAGTTGCTTCCAATTTCATCTGCTATGCAGCCCTATTGCAGCTCGGCTTTACGAGATTCAAATCATCATTCTTTATTGCTTTACTTGTTAGAGGTAAGCATTTAAAAATGGCAACTTTGCTTACGACTGTAAGGGTCTGCACGACATTTAATGTACTACATGTGACAATTCCATGTATGCATTACAAAAACAAAGATTTGAAGTTGTCTCCTGGGAAGGGTTGAGGGTGCTGGTGTTTTGCTTTGTTTTTGTTGCAGAAGTGTGGGTTAAAATATTGTTCCATTCATGACAGTTCAAGTAACAGCAAAAAACTTCCATCACAAAAGTGTATTTAATTTATAAAGCACTTGCTCAGTCCGGATCACTTCATGCTTAGGTTCTACTCATATATATTTCGACTATTTGGAAGACTCTTGTTATCTGTTGGTAGAAGCGAAGGACTCCGTATCTCTGTGTTAGAGAAAGAACTTGTTTTCAAAGAGGGTTTTTTCCTATTACACGTATATCATTGAAATGCTTACAATACAAAGAAGGCTCTAATGTCTTTTATTTCCTGTGATCAGAAAAACAATTTAAATAGCCAAACAGCTCAAAGAATAAAAAGTTCCTAATAAAGAGGGCAAGTTTAAGTAAACTGTTTCATCTGATTTTAGTCTCAATTTATCGTTTGCCATAACCCCACATACTTCATGTTTTTGTAGTTGTGTAGTAGTTCCCTTAGTTTTACCTATTATGTTTTTGTGCTGTGTGTTGAGTAGAAGTTTCATGCTATGGTTTATAGCTTAAAATCTCTTTTAAAAGTTTTTTTTCTGATAATGTGTATTTGGAGGGGAGCGATCTGTGCAAGCAGCACGAGCCTGACGTGAGATCTAGCACTGCAGCACACTGATGTTTCCTGTTGTCAGTGTATCAGATGTGACACATAATAAAAGCTTGTACAGAATCCAGGCTTCCTTCTTTGGCGGCTTTTGCAACCCAGCAAGCCAACAGGATTCTGTAAGCTACTTCATTTAAAAAAGCAGTGTGAAGAACAGAGGAGATGGCAATGTGGTCATTGCTTCTCTAGCTTATAAACAGTTTTTACTTTAAGTAATGGAAGAAAAATCAAGGCGAGATCTGTCCTGTAAGTCAGTCAGTGCGTTCGAGGGCCGTGGGGCATCCTGCACTGCCCCGCTGCCATGGGAGCCCAAGAGCCGTGTTGGCAGGGCCGTGGCGGGCAGGAGAGAGTGGCTGCATGGCACAGACTGGGGAGCCTCCGGGGTGGCTGGAGAGCCAGCGTGGAGGAGTTGGGGGATGGCTACAGGGTTGTCTCGGCGTTAGTTTGCAGCCAGGATTCATAGCTGGAAAAGAAGTAAGCAGGATGCATTGCCCCGTTTGTTGATTTCCTACCCCTATAGCCAAAAATAGCCTTTTCGACTGGGAAAAATCCCTGAACTACCAATTCCTGGAAACTAGA